TAACTAGCTAGATGTACGCCAGACCACGTCTCGCGTAACAGGTTTCGCGATATCTCACGAAACACTGTTAAGCTGCGACGCACCTGGCGCACATATAGCTTGGCCTGCGGCGCTGACACCCGATACAGGCTAATAGCAGTGTTTATACAATTATTTGAAATAAAGTGTTTTTTTTATTACGATTTAATAGACCATTTGGTCATTTTCACCTTCTTTTCGTCAAGAAATGCCCCATAGCACCCGAACGGTACAAGATAGAGCTAAACGGACGGAATTTCCGCCCAAAGGGCTCTACTTCGACGAGTACCTCTTTGGAACTCATCAAACAATATCTGCAAAAAGTTCATTTTGAGACCTATGGTTTTTGATTCTTTTTAAAGTCAATTTTTGAGCTAGAATGCTTATCATCGAACTCGATCTGTCTTTTTCTGAAACAAAACGACCCTAAAAATCCCAGATCGCTATCTCAACCCATTCTCGAGTTATCGTGCGGACAGTCAAACAAACACACGCACAAACACACAAACAGAATGAACCTTTTTCGGTCAGTGGAGTAATGGGCTTCGCTAATCGCTCAGCCAATAAACTCATCACGGCCTATACGGACTCAATAAGACAATATGGGTCCCGCCAGTATTTCACTTTTCACCACGAGGATCTGTTTTCACCAGCGGCACACGATTTCGTTAGTAGATGTTCGTAGGAATTCATTGTTTGGACAATAAACTCATCACGGCCTGTACGGACTCAATAGGGTATTTCAATGGAGCGCTGCCCGGAACTATGAAGAACAAAACCGGATACAGAGAGCGGTGGTGGGGGCGGGCGTGCGGAGGAGCGGAGGGCGCGCGGGGAGGCTCCAACCCGCCGCTCTTCCGCGCGCCCGCCCCCACCACCGCTCTCTGTATCCGGTTTTGTTCTTCTTAGTTCCGGGCAGCACTCTATTGAAATACCCTATAAAAGAATGTGGGTCCCGCCAACATCGCACTTTTCACGAGGAGGATCTTTTTTCACTAGGGTCACGTGATTTGGGATTTACTTTACTTTGTTAGTAGATGTTAGTAGACTACATTGTTTGGATAATAAACTCATCACGACCCCCGGTATGAATCTCGAGTGGATAGTCCGCCGGATAGGTGGACGAAGCATACCAGTAGCCGTCGACACCCGTACACAGGTAGCCGGCAGCCGAACGGTGAAGGTGGCGGCTTTCTTATCTAATGGTTGGCAGTTCGATCCCAATCATGGGCAGTACGGAATCAACAGATTTGTCTTCACCTGCTGGGCTTAGTCTTCTACCCCAGCAACTATTCAGTCGCTGGATATGTGTTCGATTTTAACAGTTTCAAAACTATTTTCATACTGGCTGTCTGAAATTTTCAGAAAAAGTAGTATGGTAAGGCACTACTGAAATTTCAGACCCGGGTGCAGTCTGAACTTTCAGACTACTGGTCTATTAAAATAAACCTGCAGACTTAAAGTACTGAAAATTCAGTAAAACCTTTTTTTACAGTTTAGGAGTTTGTAAGAACAGAACCTATGCCCAACAGAAGACGCACACATAAATTGAGATGGATTCAGTTTTATGCATTAGTTCTTGTATCAGAATGTTATTTGTTTCTGCGTACCATCTAATTTTGGTAGCTATTTACAGCAGAAAAGTCCTTGGCTAGTGAAGCGCGCAGGCACTCTCGGGCCGTGAACACGTCAACTGGCATAACCTCCTGGCTGTCGAGGCATCCCACAATCTCGTCGGTCAGAGCCTCCTTCGCGAAGCCGTTGTACAGCTTGTCGCCGGCTTCTGTGCGACAGATGTCACCGGGGACGTTCCAGCAGTAGCGCTCCCCGCCGCTGCACGAGTGGAAGTTGCCTGGCACAACGTCGAGGCACTCGGCCAAGCGGACCTCCAGCTCATCGATTTGGTCGTCCGTGTATAATTTCTGCGAATACGAAACACCTCAGGTCATTCTCCAAATATATTATTGAATGAGGCAGTAGCTTTAAGATTTAGCAGCTGAACATCTAGTAATGCACTTTTAACAACACTCCAAGTGCAAAGAGTCCATTATGTCCCTAAAAGGAAACGTCTTTCGTGCCCATTCAAACTGGTTGCAATTTTGTTTCTAACGCACGACAAATTGAGTAAAGCTTGACAAAATTTGTCCAGATTTAGAAATAAAATCGCAATCGGTTAGGATGTGCACGAAATCGTTGCCTTTAAAGAAACAAAACTATACCTTTACACGTGTAATGCAGAAGCCAAACGATCGACTTGCACTATCTTCTTGTTGTTATTTACACACGTTTGCCAATTGCGACGCGCAAATGCGTGCAAACACGATTGTTTTCGAACAATTAGAAGTGTTGCGAATTCAACGTAACCAACTGAATGTTAAATAATTTTTTGAAAGAAATACGTTTTACCCAGGAAAATTGCAAACACGATAGGTGCGTTTCAATAGCCTCAATCGGCTGGGGATGCATAGGCGCAAAACTTTGATTTGAAGGCGAGCGGAGCGGAACTGGCGGTAGCGCTACGCCTCCCAACCAATTTCGCTCTCTATTCCATGGGCTGGCAAGAGCGGCCCCATTTCCAGCTGCATAGACCTGCTCTGGAGCTTTTTTACAGCATGACGAACCAACCGGCATGTACCTCTTCAACAAGCTCTTCGTCTAAGTCCTTGGACAGCGACCAGCCGAGGCATTGCTGAGCTGCCGATACGGCGTCAGGCGCTGTTCCTTGACCGCTGAGGCAGGCCACGACCATGTTGGCCAGGTCCCGCCTCTGCACGCCAGCCCGCAACTGTTCGAGGCCAAAGTAACGGCACGCAGTTCCAGGTGATGCCAAGTAGCCCGCCTTTGAGGTGTCGGTCACGGCGTCCAGGCACTTTACCATACGGACGTCTATAACTGCGATCTGGTAGTCCGAGTAGGGAAGCTATGGGCAATGAGCAGTTGGTTAATTTTAGTAACTAATACAGTGTCAAAATTGTAATAGGGTATTACACCCAGCTTAAATGCTTTCCTGCGTAACGAACAATTTTTATCCATGATATTGCAAAGAAATAGAGGAGTTGTCTGTGAGCAGGTGATTAGGGAAGAAGAAAAAGACGGGCAGGTGGTAGGGGCCAGGTGCGTCGCAGCGGAACACTGTTTCGTCATATATCGCGAAGCACGGCGAAGCCTATAACGCGAGACGTGGTCTGGCGTACATATGGCCGAGGAAGAGTGGAGCACATACTGTCAGGGGCACATACTGTCAACAGCCTCGCAATAGCAGCCCATCACCTTAACAGTCGGCTAAATTGTGAAATCGTAAACACTTAACGCCCTCATTTGGTTGAAAGATGTGGGTTGCGAAATTTTTAAACAAAATCACACCATGAAGCAATATTTTAAATTGTAAAAATTATCAAAATTGACCTTTTCCCCCTTTACTGGGAAAGCGAGCAAAATTGGTAATGTACTTTGACTTCCTCTGCAGTCCGAGATTTTGTGGCACAGCGGGAATGCTATTTTGTGAGTGCCAGCCAGCCTATGCAAGAAATGCAAAAACGGAGAACTATGCGAGATTGTGCGAGCTATAAATGAATTGTACTACGCACCCCCCATTTAGATTAATGAACATTTTTTCAGTTCATTAAAAAAGCATTAAAAATGCGCTTGCATGAAGTACACATCCATATCTTTTAGTTGACTATGAGAGTCATAACTTGAAGAAAGGCGCTCTTTTGATCGGCCACTATGGTCACTGAATGCAGATAATAAATTAGTACGATTGAATAGAGGAAATCACATTCCGACTGGCATCAGTGCCCGTCAATGCCTCCAAAAGTTCCTGTATTCGTTATATCGGCCATGTTTTCGTACCTTGTCCATCCCGAGGTCCTTGGCAAGTGATTCTCTGAGACAGTGCGTGGCTGCTGTCACCTTCTCTTCACTGACACCCTGGGTCCGAAGGCACTGTGCGATGAGGTCGGTCAAGTTTTCCTTGGGAACGCCTTGGTCTAGATTGTACTCGCCTGCCATGTAGCGGCAATCATTGCCAGCTGTAGTAAATGCGAATGTGACATCGTCTGCCTCCACCGAGTCAACACAAGCGGCCATACGATCGTTTAATTCTGCTATCTCATTAGGTGAGTAACGGTTCTGCGGGAAAAAGCGAAACAGAACAGATATCAAATGATAACAAGACAGAGGAACAGTTGCAAAGTGCACTGCTACCGAGTTGACCGATTGCAAGTATTTAACTTCCACAATCAGTTATATATAAGTGTAAACGGTTACTAGCAACTTTCCCCAGATAGGGGCGCTACATGTGCACATTCACACATGAGGCACATTTATTGCTACATAAATACAATATGAGAAACCTTATTCATTGTCAGTACCACTTGAATAACAATTTTGTGTAAAGTTGTCATCAAAGTAACTATTTAAAAATTAACGCAATTTTGCTCAGCCTTCTTATACGGTGAAAAATAGTCCGTTGCAATTCTAGAAAGTCAAGGACCTTTTTTTCGTGTGCTACTCTATAATAATAATGACATAAATGTCATTCCAGAGCAGTAATTTATCTGTTGCTGGTCAAGGACATTTAAAACATGACATTGAGAGAGCTGTTTGTACGGTGAATTGGAAGGTGCAATGTTGCGTTTAAGAACTTGGTTCACCAGTGCGCAGGTGCCCTGCCCTTACCTGGTCAATGGTATCTGTAGGAAGGTCAATGGCGAGGGACTTCTCGAGGCATTGTCTAGCTGTATCCATACTGTCGGCATCAACCTCTCTCTCCGCGAGGCATTCGATGATTAGGTTTGTGAGGGCCTCCTTCTCTACGCCTTCGTTAACCTTGTACAGGCCCGCACTGTACCTGCAGTCTGTGCCTGGGGCATTCAAGACCCCCGAATTGTACGTCTCGGGTACGTTTTTCAGGCAGTCAGTCAGGCGATTATCGATCTCTCGGTACTGTCCATCGGTGTAATCGAAGCCTCTCTGAAAATTAAATATATAAGTATGGCTGGAAGATATGTGAGAGACTTTGTGGTATTTCTCAGAAAACTGTTCCATATGGGTTTTAACATGAGAAACTGGAAAACCTGACGATCTGGCTCCCAAAGCGAGAAAAATGATGGTGGTTAAGCCTCTTACACGTTTTCGCAGTTGAGGGTGTTCATATATTGACTCGGTAGCGTTTGACTAGCAAGTAAGGGAATGGTGGTTTTTGAGCAGCACGTAACGACACACTGTGAGAAAAACCTACGGTCTAACAACGGTCTTGGACCGTCAATTATTAACCAATTGCAAACCGTTCTTGGACCGTACCAGGTACGGTGTGATCACAGCGCCTCACTCTGGAAACCCAAGTGTGTGCTTAAACGCAGAAAATACTGCGTACTTGTTGGTATTCAGTATTTCCTGCGTACTTGGCCATGTATTCAGTATTTCCTGCGCACTTGGCCACGCATTCAGTATTTAGTGCGTACTTGGTTAAGTACGCAGGAAATACTGAATACATGATACCTGGGTCGACACCACAGTATTGTTGCGGTAAGTAATAAATTTCATTACTAACAACCAATCATATTTGTTAAGAAAGTGTGGTTTTGCTATCCCTTATCATCCAAAGAAATGGTGCCTTTCAGTCAACACAACCCAGAACATCTGTCTACAACAGCATGGTTTAACTTTGGTGCATAAATCAAGACTGCAGGTGGCCCTTGCAATGGGTAGGTTGGGGCGATATGGTGAGTTGATTGAGTTGCAAAATGGACAAAACAGGAGAAATTAATAAAAACAGTTAGAGAGAGGACGCATTTTCTTTCATACAAATTTAATAAAGATGCTATTCTCTTGATTTGCTGAACTGTTCGGCCTCCAGCCGCAACTTATTGAGAGACATAATAATAAATAAGTTGAAAGCAGGAATCAGAAGCTGTTAGAAACTGCAACAAGAGAATCTATGCCATATTACTATAAACTTGTATAGGTTTCTATTACAATTATTTTACTTTGAATCGTGTTTAGTATTACCATCAACATTTCATAAAAATTTATTACTTCCCGCACCAATACTGTGGTGTCGACCCAGGTATCCCTTGTGATCTGTGTATCTACTCATGTATTCAGTATTTCCCGCGTACTTAACCAAGTACGCACTAAGTACTGAATACATGGCCAAGTACGCAGGAAATACTGAATACATGGCCAAGTACGCAGGAAATACTAAATACCAACAAGTACGCAGTATTTCCTGCGTTCAAGTACACACTCGGGTTTCCAGAGCACCGTAATTTCAACCGTAGTATTATTATAACTGAAATCACATTCTACGGTTTAAAATAACGGTGAGGCGCTGTGATCATACCGTACCGTACCATGCTGTAAAATCCAAGCTGTTATATCACCGTAGGTAGACCGTTATTTTTTACAGTGCATTGAGTGCAGAATCGAGCACTTAAACTTAAGTATCTTAGTAAGAGAGAACCTGATTGCGTGTATCGCGCCCGACCACTCGTTATTAAATTGACGTAATAACAATAAAAGGTGGAAACAGTTTTGATCGTCATTTTCACTTATTTATTGCAACTTTGACAGTATCATCTGCTTCCGCGTTAGCGTTGACGTTCTTTTTTCAAGTAGTAATTTCGAATATTGCAAATAGCAAGGGAAACAAAGAATTAGTTAAACGAGTTAAGGGGGCAGACCTGTGAAATGTAAGGGTTTGCAAGAATCGTCACTACATAAAAACCACACGCCGCATCGATTTAGGATTAAAGATGTATTAAGAGCATAGATGGACTCTAATTTTGCCTTTGGCAACAGTACGCACACTCTCCAGGATCATGCCGATCTTCGCCTTGAACTGCAACGATGCGGTCCTTCTCGGTGTGCACGATATCAGCGCAACGGATGGATCTGCGACGGTCAACAAAATTGCTAGTTACTCTGTAAAGATGCCCCTAGTGGTTGACCTGGGGGTTTTGTGAATTTCGAAATGGAAGTACTCAAACAAAATCACAGTGGACATTTTTTTTTTAATTTTTCGTATTTTAGCTATATGATTTTTTTTGAGTACTGCTATCTCAAAATTTGCAAAAACCCCAGGTCAACAACTAGCGGCATCTTTTTAGAGTGAGTAGCAATTTTGTTGACAGTCGCAGACCAACCCGTTCCAGCACAATCGTGCACACAAAACAGACTGCATTGTAGAGTTGGAGGTGAAGATAAGTATGTTCCTGGAGAGTGCGCGCACCAGTAAAATTAGCATCCATGCTCTTAGTACACAGTTAATCCTTATCCTTAATTGATGTCGCGGGTAGTTTTTATGTAGTGACTATTTCCCCAAACCCTTCAATTCACAGGTCTGCCATTCGCTACTATGGCCTTTGATCAGAATTAAAGCTGGGCTATCTTCTTTTTAGCTGAGAGGGGTAAGATATTAGCCATAACAGGTGTCTAGATAAAACAGGAACTAAAGCTGTAAAGCTAATATGTTAGCCATCTTAGCTAAGAATTAAATAAGCAAGCTAATATTGTGATCTAAGGCCATATTAACGAATGCATTAACTAATTTAGGTAATTCTTTTCTTTTATTCGTGTGAAGCTATTTTCCTGAGGAGCAAAGCAATGGCCAGTTGGATGATCTTGATGTTTTTCCGCCCCAAAAAGTCACTCACCGCAGCAGCGCAAAGCGAGAGAACAAGAAATATGTAAGTCTGAAACATGGTCAGGCGTGTACAAACTGCACAGTAAGAGTGAAGTCAAAAAGGCTGTTTATGTAGACTCGGCCTCACCATTAAATGCTATTCAACTTTGAGTAGTCAGATAAGATTGTCGTCGCCACTTTAAAGTATAAATTTTATCTTTCATACTTAGAAAAGTAAACTGAACGCTTACTGGACATATCGAAATTAACTCGCATACGGGACGGTTGTGAAAAATCTACAATTATTTGTAGGGCTTGCAATGCAAGCTAAAAGTGTTTTGGGATTATTGGCGTACCTATCTCTTGTACGATTAGAGTTATAAAAAAACATGAGCAGGATTGCTGAAGTTTGCATTTAATTTATCCTATTTGGTCATTTGAACTCCAGCCTTTTCAGAGATATATCAACCACAAAAACGAAATATAGTTGACATGCCGTGCGGCTACTACTGCTATAATACGGTTTAAACTATATATATCATATGAGAAAGGATCGCTTTCGACGTTGCATAAGTATCCAATTGTATCGCCATTGCCGGTTGGTTTTCGAGGTTTGTAAAGCGCACTGTCATTCTTTGTTAGTTCTCAAGTTTCAGAGAGCTGACTGTAATTCTGATAAGAGGACACCGACGTATGCCTGCATAAGTGGCGTAGCTGTGAAGAGGCGCAGAACTTTGGCGGTTATGCGCTGGCCCGGCCAACATTGGCGGATCTGAGAAGAGACGGTCATCACAGGCGGATCTGCTTTTCGGCTCATCTGCACATTCAACTTTGGAGGCCTACATCTCAACTTAGGCATGCCGTACAGTATTGACTGATACTTTATTGCAATGTTTATATTCTCGTAATTGAATTTTGACATCACTCATTACTATAGGACATACCCATGATGAGCAATAGGCCTCCAAAATGACAGTGCAAATAAGCCGTCCCTGCTCAGATCGGCCAGTGTTGGTCGGGCCGGTGCAGAACCACCAGTATTCCCGGCCTCCTCTTAGGTACGCCACTTCTGCGATAAGGCGTCCACACTTGAAATCACACAAACGCCACTCTATATTATAAGGGTCGTGTTTACAATTTCAGGTAATAGTATAGAACAGTGACTCAGAGCCGATGAGTCACTCTTCTATACCATTGGAAAGGGCCTTTTGAGTATAATCCGGAACACTTTCAATTTATTGGCGCTCGAGTCTGGTTTTCCGACGGACGTGGCAACCCCGCACCAGGGCGTGTCAGCGATGATGCGGCATACCTTGGAGGCCGGGTATCGCGGCGGTACGGGTACGTGAAAGAGGGAGGAAAGAATTCTCTCTAAGACGCGTGCGGCTCCGGCGCGGACCTTGCCGAGGATGTATGGCGGCTTTGCGCCTGCGTTGGCTGCGTTCTAGATGCAGGGGTGGAGTAGGCCAGCCTGGCGCGCAGCCCTCCCGTGCGGGACGGCCTACATGTCAGGCGCTCAACCCC